ATATTTCGATACATGATTATAAAATGTATTTGCTTCATATAAATATTGATAAAAAAGTTTAATTGTTATTGAATGTTCTTCACTAGCAACTTTATATGTTTCAGCTGCATATATATTACGTGATAATGTTCGAGCTTGTTCACATTCACAACGAATATCTTCTAATTCACGTAAACGTTCATCAAAATTTGGTGATGTTAAACGACCAGATCGTCTTTGAAATCTTTAGAAAAATCAAAAGAATTTCTTCTTTTTTTGTTTTTATATAAAATTAATAAACGAACTTTTTCCAATTGGCATCAGCTACTTCTAATTTTTGTCGAGCTTTTTCATAATTATCTCGAAGTTCAGTCATTGTTTGACGAATAGTTGACTTTTATAAATAAAAATAAAAATAAAAAAAAAGACAAGGTTCTATAATTACTTGTCTATCTCTGGCTTGTTCAATAATTTTTTTTTAATTGTTCAAGCCATTCTTTTCTTTTTGAATCAATAAAATCATGTATTTGAACTAAATCATCAATTGTTTGATTTTTAAAACCGATGAAGCTCCACTTGTTCCATATGGTAAACGATAAGAACGTGCAACATCATTATCAATACTCTTATTTAGCTAAAAATAAATTTCATTTGCTTTTTTTTTCAAAATAAATATTTTTAATTAACTTACAAAATCTTTATCGGTTTTCCAAAGATCAGATAATACTTTACAAGCATCTCGAATATAACGAACTCGATTGTAACAATCAGGTACATCATCATTTCTTTATTAAAAACAATAAATAAATAATAATATTATATATTCAAATAATTTCAATCAATTTTTAAATATTTTATTATAATTTATTAAATTTATTTTGATTCGATTTCAAAAACAATCGATCATTGATTTTTCGATAGATTATATATATATATATAAACTTGTTTTTAAAAAATGATCAATCTTTAATTAAAATAATTATTTATAAGAATTTTCATTATTTGATTTTAATGATTAACGAAGATTTTCTATTTAGAATTTTTTTTTAATTTCATCAATATTTATCCATGATGAGAGAGAAGAGAATTATCTATTCTATTTCTATTTCTATAAATTAAATTGTTTAAATAACAAGTAACGCTCGTCGCTTCGACTCGCTTAGCCCTCGACTGAACAAGATATCATATTCAATTTTTCACAGACGATATAGCAATAGAAGTTCACAAAAATTATACGAAAACGCAGAGTACTTTTTGAAAATTCTACTAGAAATTTGTACACATTCTAGAACATTCCTCGATAATGCTGTTGACTATAGAGTTCTCTAGGAAAATAGAAGTTCTGTGGAACCCCTAGCCGAAAATAAAACATATTATATCTGATCTCTAATCGAAATCTGATATATACAACAAGCTCTTATTCAAAGTAGTGATAAGACTAGACAGGTAATTTGAATATATCAATGTACATTCAGATACTTGAATTAATACAAACAAAAACCATATTCCAAAAGAAACATTCTTTTATTTCATTCATGTTCACTACCGATGCAGCGAATATAAATTCTTTCAGTAATACTTTTATTCTGACGAACGATTCAGTTATTTTGTCGAAACATAAAAACCGGTTCTCATCCTTGACTTGACATAGTTTTTTCAACTTTTTGTATCTGATATTCCTTATTCAGACCCATTTGACTTCGACTATTGACTTTTATTCAATGAATCCCAACACTTCGAAGCGGCACTTCTGGAGATAACCCAGTGCAGCAGCTAGCCGCGAGTGGCGTCCCGGAGGGGCGCCGATGAGTGACTAATTGCTGCCAGGTCTACTCCCATCTTTTCACAACACTATCCCTCTGTATTTTAAATTCACCTGGTCCAGAATTTACTATTTCAAAACTTCGTTAGTCTAAAGCGTTAGAATTATCGATAGGAATTTTCAAACAAAAGTTTTCTCATGAATTATTTCTCATTTCCGCAATTTGATTGTAGAACTGAGAAACCAGAATATTCTTTGAGGTTCTCATTAAGGAAATCTGAGTGCACTATTCTTCAAAATGCCTAACCGATACAAAGATCTTTAGTGAGATCAGTCTGTAGTATGCTTGCAATGTTAACGATTAACAGTTCATTAGCGCCCCTTTGGGGTACCAGCCACGGCTAAGTCCTCCTTTTACATAAGTGCACTTGAACGACAGTCTCTTATTGTCCATGTAATACAACAGCGACGATATCATTCACATATGCCTTTTCAAAACTATTTTCTTTGAATAACAGTAGCTAGACATTGCACATATCAGAATTCCCGAAAACATACCAGGATAAAAGTATCACTTTTCATAATAGTAATTATAGCATATGACAAATTAATGCCAGGTCTCAATGTTAGACCCACGCCTATCCATGTATATATTTCCGCAGATGATAGATTTAAAAACGCGAAAGAACCTTTCTTATAAGTATCAAACACGACCAAATTCAATAGCTTATTCACTCTTATCGCGTACATTTAACTAATAAATAGTCAAAAACCATTCCATAGTAACTACAAATGACTCTCTTAATTGATAAATATTTTCATAAGACGAAAACAAACATACAATTTTCAATTATTCTCTTCTTTTTCATACATTTATGCAAAACCGAAAAAGACATATACTGTTTTAGCTGATCATCTACTTCAGCAAATGCACATTCTAAATCCACAAAAAAATATACGAACCGAAAAACTAATTCTTTTCCTTTCAAGTTCGTTTTCGATGAAGTGAATTTAACTGTTTTAATGATGTTTTCCATCCATACATTATCACTATATTCTATTCTTCGAGAAAAACTGGTCTTAGGATGCATACAAAAATATTTCTCCTTTTTTATCACTTTGAGTCCGTTTTGAAACTCACCAGATCTAACCCCTTCACATTCTCTTGTTTAATCTTTTTAATTTAACGCCCTTCAAAATGCAACTGTCGAGTGCACCAGCTAGTCGCTCATCGGCGCCCCTCTGGGGCGCTACTCGCAACTAGCTGCTGCAACCTCTGATCTTCTTCTCCCATAAGATAGTTCTTTTCACTTAAACCCTGTTAAATGACAGATTGCTCTTACTTAGAATATTAGATTTATAACACCATCGCTCCACATGAGCAGCTCCGGACCAACAGTTTCCTGTTATTTATTCCTAATCTCTTTAACCCAATGGTTTAGCCAATACGGTAAAATTTTATTAGGGCTTCTGGTTTGAAGAATCTTAGTTGATTATTCTTGATAAATGCAGGTTTCATGTAGATCTTTTGCTAAACAACATTAGAATACGTTCGCAATTTTAGCGACCACTAGTTCGCCAACACTTCTCTCAGGCCTTGCTCATAGTCCCTTGTTGCATTCTTGGAATACAATAAAACAATCATTGGTTATTC